GGTAGGGAAGTTAAGGAAGCTCGACCGAAGGATGGGAAATGGACTACGTACAAGAAGAACCTCRTTGAGCTTTACAAATCGGAGGATAACAAGTATTCCATCAAGGACCTCGAAACAATAACTCAAGATGAAGATGAGTGCGTACGGGCATTTGGGATGCGTTTCCAGAAGATCTCCGACGTGCTGATGAAGAAGGGGAAGATCTCAGAGGTCGAGCGCTGTACTATCTTCATCGGACACCTGTCCAAAGGTAGGCAAAAGAGTATACTTAGAGGTCTTCCGCGCGACAGGCTTGATTTCCCAGAAGTCCTAAAGCTCGCGATAAAGGCAGAGGCAGACGATTACAAGGACTTGGTGTRGAGAGGGATGAGGAGACGTGACTTTTCTCTCTACAAGGAGTATGCCACTGATAGATGCCCTGATTTCAAGGACTATCCCTGGTCGGAGAAGAATGAGGCCGTGGCTGAGGAAGTGAAGGAGATACGGGACATGGTGAAGGGATTGACGAGACGGGTTACAGAGATTGTGACCACAATAGGGGCCACGGCCTACCGGGACAAACTTGGAGGGCCCTATTCACTTTGATGGGACCGTAGGAACAACGATTCCTGGAGGAGTGAAATCCTCGGACGCTGACTGATTATCGTACGAGGGAAAGAGAGAGAGACGATGAGTCATGGCGACGTAGGGACGATGAGATAGACCGAGACCGCAGAGATCGCGAGCCGTTTGCGCGAGCAAGGAGGCTGGATGATTAACCGCGGAGCCCTCGCTATTAGGCCGATCGAGGTAGAGGCGACTCCCGCGGCCGATGGGAGACAGATCAGGGCCGACAAGATGGATATAGGGACGACAGATACGAGAGATCGGACCGAGACGGGTATAGGGACGATAGATACGAGAGGTCGGGTCGAGATGGCTACAGAGGTGGTAGGTATGAAAGAGGAGATCGGGACTGGGCGCGAGGGAGAACAGCGCGATGAGTCGCGGGGGTGGTACAACCGAGGGGACCGACGCGATGAGACACGAGGGCGATATGACTCAGGGGACCGCCGGGATAATTCGCGAAGGCAGTATGAGCAAGGAGGTTCTGGAAGAGACAGCCGCAACGATTCGCGCGATCGGAATGAGAGAGAGGGATATGGCGTCTCATCAGAACCATATCCCAAGTCGCCTGACCCCAAGGCAGCCAGGGGTTCGATCTCGAGGAGCGCAGACGACAGACCATCTACTCCCAGGAACTCATGCGTTTACTGTAGAGGAGAAGATCATATCAAGAGGGATTGCCTTGACCTCAAACGGGCAATAGATGAGGGACTTGTCGTGCTTGACGACCGCAAGTACGTCAAGTGGGCAGATGGTCTGGGAGATGTATCGATGTTCCCTTCGATGAAGGAGAATGTCGAAGCGAGGAGAGTAAAGCCGAGTAAAGAAAAGGAGTCGGTCAGGAGCCAGAGCATCAAGAAAACCTTTAAGGGGGATATAGCGACTACACCCATAAGGGTGGCAGCCACCAAGTCGGCGAGAGGGTCTACATCGAAGAAGACTGGCATGGATTACATGATGACGGAGAAGGACGGGCAGCGGGTCGATGGAGAGGAGGTTATCCTTTCGCCGCGAAGGAGGGGAGTGAAGAAGTTCTTAATGAAGAGTTCGCTGGACGAGATTGACATGGTCGAGCCACTGAGGCGGGCCCTTCGGCAACCCATGCAGTGCTCTATTCTGGAGTACCTGGCGGCATCGAAGCCGGCTCGTGATGAGTTACAGATGATCACGCGGAAGACTCGCATACCTCTATCGGAGGAGGGTCAGGGGGCCCCTAAGGCGAAAGCTCCTACAGTAGCAGTAACGGGGGAGACTGCCAGAGCAGATCGGATGGCGACAGTCCTTCTCGATGGAATGGAAGGTGTGCCTCCAGACAAGTTTTATATACTTGGTAGCGGGGCCGTGGAGACGATTATAAACGATGGAGCGATACTCGATGCTGTGATCGATAACGACAGTGAGGCTGTCATCATAGACGAGGACCTGGCAGTACAGGTTGGACTGGGCCTTGATAGGTCATACCTATTCGAGATAGAGACGGTTGATGGGAGAAAGCAACAGATCACTGGGGTTTGTCACAAGGCAGCCATAGAGGTCCAAGGGGTACGAGTGACCCTGCCTGTCTTTGCAGTCAAGAACTGCAGCTCCGATCTGCTCTTGGGACGAACGTGGCTGAGCCACGTGCATGCGGTGACGATAGAGCGACCTGATGGGAGCCAAACATTATCCATTGGGAAGCCAGACGGGACGCGGGTAATGATTGAGACAGTGGAGCCTCGGGACCCGAGGAACAGAGCGACTCTCGCTGTGGGTGCGAGACCCAGTGAACAGATTAAGTCGTTACCTATCTCCGGCCGCGCGGTGCGATTTCGCGAGAAGCAATATGGACCACTGCTCACAGAGGAAGAAGGTCGGATCGTGGAGGTGGAAGATTTAGGGAGTCGGCTAATAGCGGACGGCAACTCGTACCCAAAGGAAAAAGATGAGGAATTTGGCGGTGTAGTATCCGTGTCTTTTTTAAGGGCACGGCCCCCTATGGGGGACTACCCAAGCGACACAATCGAGTAGCTCAAAAAGTTAAGCCAACGGCTGTGGGCCGCGAACGATCTGCACTGGAAGTAATATCGAAAGAAGAGATCGCGAAAAAAATCAAAGAAAGAAAGAAAAAGGAGCCACAACGCCTAACGGAAGAGAGGATAGCAGGGATGGACATCGGAGATGGAAATCTGACCCCACAGGAGCGAGAACGTGTGATAGAAATTCTAAAGACATGTGATAAGGTAATAGCTTTCAGCGACGCGGAGCGCGGTAGGATTGACCCTCGATGCACTAAGCCAGCGAGGATTTACACGATTCCACATGTTCCTTGGAATGACGCAGGATGAAAATATGCCCAGAAGGAGAAAGAAGAAGTTATCGCTTTCCTGAAAGAAAAGATGGTTTCCCACGTTGTGGAGCCGTCTGATAGCGCTTATGCTAATCGATGGTTCTTCCTACGAAAGCCGAATGGTAAGATCCGATGTATCCAGGACCTTAAGAAGGTCAACGCGGTGACGATACGAGACGTGGGCTCCGTGCCACACGCCGATTTACTGGCAAAAGGCGCCGCAGGTAGGTCAATTTATTCGGTCTGTGATCTGTTCTCCGGATATGATGAGGTACCGCTTGACCCTAGGGACAGGCACCTCACGGCTATGCATACGCCATTGGGACTAATACAAATGATGGTTGTCCCTATGGGTTGGACTAATGGGGTAACCGTTTTTCAGAGAGCCATGGTAGCCGTCCTCAAGGACTTCATCACTGATAAGGTTGAAGGTTTTTTGGATGACTTTCTTATAAAAGAGCCAGTGGACAGGGATTAGGCAGATGTTGTACCTGGAGTTAGAAGATTCGTCGAGCAGCACCTAACAGATATTTGCGCGGTACTCGAGCAGCTGGACGATGCGAATTTAACAGTCAGCGGAACAAAGAACCGATGGGTCGTCTCGACTATTAAGATCTTGGGCTTTATCTGTGACTCGAGAGGACGGCGAGCAGATCCGGCGAAGTTCGACAAACTTCTGAACTGGCCGTCACCGTTACATAGCCCAACCGAGGTCCGGCAGTTTCTAGGAGTGGTCGGTTACTGGCGTATATTCATACGGGGGTATGCGAAGAAGGCTGAGCTATTGAGGTTACTCCTTCGAAAGACTGAAAAATTCTACTGGGATTCTTCGCAGGAACTCCCTATGCAAGAACCTAAAGACGAATTTAAGGAGGGACGACGCGTGTTGGGCGTGCCATTCTTTGACGATGAGACCGAGAGACCCTTCATAGTATCCACGGATGCTCGACCATGTTCAGTAGGTGGTTTGCTGTCTTAGAAGGACGCTGGAGGGAAGGAAAAACCGTTAAGATTTGAGAGTAGGACACTTAATACGGCTGAGCGTAACTACAGTCAATTCAAGAAGCAACTGTTAGCTGTTCTCCGGTGTCTAGATACGTTCAGACACTATATCTATGGGCGACGGTTCATCTTGAGAGTAGACCCCACCGCGGTTGCCTCTGTCCTCCAGAAGGACTTTAGTCTGACGGACCCGACCATCGCTCGATGGTTAATACGGATTCGGATATATGATTACACGGTTGAGAGGATATCTGGCACTAAAAATGCCGTGGCAGATGAACTTTCGCGCATCCCTCTTGAGGCCGAGCGCTCGATAGTAGTTGGGGCCCTGACTATGGCGGAGCCAGGACCCACCGAGCGTTTTCTGGTTAACCTTTACGAGGGCAAATACCGAATGATCGGGCTACATTTGTCAGGAAAGGAGAGTCAAGAATCAGATATCCGGAGACAAGCGACCCAGTACTGCCTTAGAGCTGGCCATCTGTTTCGAAGGCCGRGCGGCTCGGGGATGCCCTTACGAGTAGTCTGTGACCCTGAGGAGAGACAGACAATAGTTGCGGAGCTTCACGACGGGGTAGTCGGAGGACACAGGGGAGTCAAAGGAACCTACGAAAAGGTACGCAGGTTGTACTGGTGGGAAGGACAGTATAAGAACGTCGAGAGGTATTGTAGGACCTGCGAAGAGTGCCAGAAGAGAGCTCTTGTGAAATACAAAGAGCCACTTCATCCATCCTATCCGACCAGACCAGGAGAGAAGGTACAAATCGATCTAGTGAAAATGCTGAAAGGGGTAGGCAATATGAACTACGTCGTGAACATACGAGACGATTTCACTGGGTTTCGTGGACGGTAGACCTATCAGGAGTAAGGCGGCAAAGGAAGGAAAGAACTTTGTCCTAGAGTACTTATCTAGGTATGGTTGTGTCAGCAAGATAGTAATGGACAGAGGGGCGGAATTCCTAGCCGACGAGGTTCAGAGCGTGTTCAGGAGAGCCGGGGCGAGAGTTTCGATAGCCACCCCCTATCACCCACAGTCGAACTCCTCAGTAGAGAGGGGACACCAGACTTTGATAGCGTCACTGTCCAAGTGGTGCAAGGGTAAGGACAGTGATTGGCCACGATATTTTCGATACGCAATATGGGCGGACAAC